TAAAATTCTCACGTACGCATTAAAATTACATTTAGAGGTTAAGATATGTTTAATTACATTTAGAGGTTACAATATGTTTTTTTGACAATTATGCATGAGAAATCTGCCTACCACTGACAGATTGAGAGAGAAGAGGGTGAAGGTGGAGCAAAGGGGTCCAGTGTGGTGAGGATTTTGAGTCTGTGTCCCACAACATTTTTTAATTGCAAGAAAGCAGCTGAAGTTTAGAGATGAAAGGTTGGGCAACTACAGGTGGACAAAGAACGTCATTTATGGAATGGGTTGAAATTTTCTTTACGACTAGGGACTGGGAGCATTGCTGTGAGTTGATAAAGCATGACCGGTGCTAAAGCATGCATTTGGTACTTTCGCAATAGGGCTATCTGGAATGGGGAGGAAGGAGGCGTGGACTCTATTGTGACCTTGGCAATGGCGGTTCTACAAGGACGGAGTACTGCACATGACCGATGCACTGAAGTTCCCAGGGAGTCGAGGCTTGGTGGTGCAGAGAACTCGAAGAAACCTGAAGGGTGCCGTCTTAAAGTCAATATGGACGCAACTTTGGGAGCTGAGGTGGGGGGGTAGGGAGTTTAGTTGGGTGGCGAGAGATGCTGCTGGTAGATTTGTAGTAGCAGGGGCAAATCCTTGGCTAGGTACCTATTTAGTTAAGGAGGCTGAAGCCATCGGGATTCGAGAGACTTTGAAGTTGCTTAAGGAGCACAATTGAGATTATGTCAACTTAGAGTATGATGTGTTACAAGTCGGAATGACGGTTGAAAAGGGAGGAGACATGTCTTCATCAGTTTGATTGTTGATGATATTAAAGGTGTTGGTGCGAGGCTTTAGAAGTGTTTCGTTTAACTTTGTTCGGCGATCCGCAAACCATGCCGCTCAGAAGCTTGCTTGAATGACCGTTTCTTTGTCTGATAGTCATAGTTGGTTAAATGTTCCTCCAAATTGTATCCTGAATGTAATTTGTCTCTATCTCAAATGAATTCAAAACACATCACATGTGATTTATTATTATATGTTTACAGTATTTCGTGGTTCTAATTTCATATTTGTTTAGTCTCATCTTCATTGGTGATTACTTTTTATTAGTTTTAGATTGGCATACGTTGAACTAAATCTTAATGATCCCATAAACAATGGGTGTGTTATATAATGTGACACAAAACATTATTTATTGAGTCGACCATACAATATTTTTTGCCTAATCTAATATGCAAATTTCCTTTAATCAATATAATTTTTGCCTACATTGAGGGTTCATTCTATACATTGTTTCATTGCACTCTCTCACACTGGATTCCTAATTTGACGAATGTTCTATCTGAAAATTCCATTTTAGCAAATAATGATGTTTTTGGTTATTTAGTTATAACAATTGATCTACACTTAGGACTCTTACAATACTTGGAGATCTAGATTAAATTAATAATTTGATACTATTAATACCTTTAGCTTTGATTATGTAGTTTCACTAGATTTTTAGTTTCATAAAACAGGACTTATGCTTATCTATCTCTTCTTGATCCAACTTTCTTCTATTATTCAGAATATGTGTGATTAGCATACGCACTATAAGAAAATGAAGAGGGTTGGTGGGTGTAGTCCAATGGATGACCATCCACCCCCAAGTCTCTCCTTTGTGGGAGGTCTTGGGTGTTGGGTGTGTTTGGGAAAAACGAAGAAATATTAATTAATAAAAATATTTAATTAATTAATAAAATAGCTAAAGACAAATAGAAATAAGATGGAGCAGATTTTAGCCATAGCTCGTGCTACGCACGATGTCCTTAAAACGTATTCGTCGCCTCCCACGGTGCTAGGAGCGTTGCAACGACCGTTTCCCAGGATACGGTGGGTAACGAACGATCGTTTGAGCACACAAACGAAAGTCCCGGCGAACTGGAACAATAGCAGAACACATGGGAATTTTCGGAGTAGCTGGAAGTGTTTTGAGAGCTAAAATACGTGTATGATTGCTTGTGAACGTGTGTTTGTTGCAAACCACCTGCCAGCTATTTATAGGAGGATTTGTTGTGTGTTAAATAGGGTGTTAATGGACATGAACGTTGGACATCAATGACCAGTCCGTTGGGCATTGAATCATCCATAAACTGTCCATTTAACGCAACATTGAAAGAGAAGAACGTTGAACATTTATTGCTGTAACGGACCAGAAGACCTCGAGCCGTTCTGTTACGACCAGAATACCTCAAGAGTTCTGTTGCGACCAGAAGACCTCAAGGGTTTCTGTTGAGCCATTCTGTTGCGGACAGAATACCTCGAGGAATTCTGTTGAACCGAACAGAAGCGGAGCCGTCCTGTTGAGAACAGAACCCCTTCTGGTCCGGACAGAAACGGAGCGATTCTGCCAGCTTGGAAAAAATAAAGGAACGTTACGGGAAGAAACCAAAACCAAATCATATCTTTGAATGATAGATTTTTCGGACGTCATTCGTGTCCGCAGGTCACCCGTTTCGGGATTTGATCGGTACCCCCCCTTGCGTGTAAGAGAGAGCCTTTACTTTTAGGAATCTTAACTCTTTAAAAGAGGCTTCCCTTTATAAGGGGGTGAAAATCCCTTGAGTTTTCCAGTGTGGGATAAAACACACTAGAAACCCATCATTTTCCCAGTTTTTCCATTTCAACGAGTGAACTTCGAGAATCAATTTCTCATTCACCCGTTATCCGTTTTGAGTGTACCACATATCGAATCGTAGCCCTTAACAAAGACAATCCGAAACCACTTTAACCCGACCCAAATCGGAAGTGGACCCCACTCAAATAATTGCCCCAAAATGACCATTTAATGCAATTTTTAACACATTTTTCCAACATTGGGTTCAATTCCCACCCAGGGGAGATGAGGAAGGTCTTGCTCCCAATGATTCTTCCTACCTTCACGGAGTTGCTCAGCGGCTGAGAAGGGAGATGATGGTAATGAAGGTAGCGGGTTCGTGTGGTGGGAGGAGCAGCCTTAAAGGTGATGTAAGTCCTGCTGGATTCGTCCTTTGGAGCCAGTACTGACGAGACTGACTGTAATTAGATTCAGATTTAACTGTCTAGGGGCTTTGGAGAGTAGTTCATAGTCTCCAGGATTATGGGAGCGTAAGCCCCGACACCTGAATTATAAAAAAAACGAAGAAAAACTAAAAAGCTAACTAAGGTAGGTTGTTAAAGAAGCTTTTAGTACTAAAGGTGAGCACAAATTTTTATTACCAATTTCTAGCCTCAACAGATTTATTTAAATTCCATACATTATTTGACCACTAAGGATGTTTTTATTTGGAATGTAATTTTCTGGTCTGGTCTGGTTTGGTCTGTTTTGGTCGGGTCTGGTCTGTTTTAGTCTGGTCTGGTCTGAAGTTTTATTTTTTATATTTTTTGCATGAAGATTTTAGTTTTTATAAATATTATAATACATAAATAATTATATTTTATTCATTTATAATTAAAAATAATAATATTTCTTCCAAATTATCGAATATTGTTATCGTTTTACTCGGATTGATTTCAATCCCAGACCGAAGCAGATCAGACCAGATCATACAAATACATAACAATAGTAATAATGTAAAAGATTCCAAACAAAATCATGGCTAATTAAAGTAAAATACCTTCCTAAATCTAAAATATTAATAATGATTGTGGTTGAGTAAAAAAACATAAATGAATGTTAGTCACATAAAAATTCCAAAAAGTGAAATGTGTAAAAAGCTGAACATCTCAAAATGTTAAATGAGAAGAATTTAATGGGATAGAAAGACTATATATATACAGAAAATGGAACCATGATCAGATGGGGTGCCATAACCAATTCAGAATGGAGGTCGATCTCGAACCTCCATAATTTCTAAATTTCTTTCCAAGACCAAATTTCGAAATATGAGTTGTTACTGTCATGTATGAAAAATACTGTCATTATCAAAAAAATATTATCATTAATTATAATAAATATCGTCATGTTAAATGCACTGTACTGCAACTATTTGTCAATCACGCCTACAAAAAGACAATAAATATTGTCATGTTAATCATATTTCGAAAATAATAACATAACAGTTCTATCTTGAAATTCCAAATTCCATTTATTCTTATTTTGGGAAATCTCCTTAATTTTAAGAGTTAATTATCAAAATAGGACTAAAAGTCATTCACTTTTCACAAATAGGACCAAAAAATAAACTATGTTTGCATAGGACTAATTATGTGTACATTGGACAATTATACCCTTATAGCTATTAAAATGTTTTAATTCCTAATAAAATAATAAAAAGTAATAAAAATTCGTAAAAAATACTAAAAAAATAAGAAAAACATTTCGATATTAAAAATTTAATTATTTATTTTTCAAAAAATTAAAAAAAAAAACTCAAAAAAAAATCGCCGCCGCCTCTTCCGCCTCAGCACCACCACCTCCAGTCACCAGGGGAAAAAAATGCCAAGTCATTAGGAATGCCATATTTATGACAGAAAAAAATGAAAATGTTGGCATTCGAAAAGAGAAATATGCCATTTTTTTGGCATTTTCAGGAAAAATGGCATTTTCGTGGGAAAATGGCATTTTTTTCATCGGCCGGAGATGGTGGTGCTGGGAGGTAGTACATGCGGTGGGAAAGGCATCCATATTTTTTTTACGGAGTTTTACTATTTTTTATTAATTTTTTTAAAAATAAAATTATTCAAAAAAAAAGTTTTTGAATTTTTTATGTTATAAAAATTTTATAAATTTTTTAATTATATTTCTACGAATTTTTGAATTTTTTTCGAATTTATTATGAATTAAACATTTAATTATGGCTTTTGACTATTTTTAATTCATATTTAATGGAAGGGTAAGAATGTAATGCAAAAATAGGTATGTTTCCAATAGGACTCATATGATCCTATTTTGGAATAAAAATATAGCAAGTCTTATTTTAGATTTTTACCATAGTTTTAGTTTGAACTAATTTCTATAATTTTAATAAAAAAGCCCATACGCATGAACCCATTGGTTAATCTAGCCGCTACACTTCAAAACGGCTACTTCCGCTTCCTTTGGCGCGAACGAACTTCCATTATTCAGCACGGATTTACTCCGACTATGAAATTATTATGGAGAATTGTTATTCATCATCAACGTCTTTCAGTCTTCTCCCCCAATCTGACCTTTCTTCGTCGCCATCCTCCTTGGCGTCAAGATTTCCTTACTTCCGCGCCATTTTCATCTTCCCATGGACACGCCCGCAGCGAAGACGAACCGCATGGGGAATATTCTGGTCAAAACTCTCTCCTTCGGTGTCCTCGTCTTCCTCGCCCGCTTCGCTTACTTCATCACCATTACAGGCAATACTTACGACTCCCGTGCAGTCACTGACGCGATCAATACCGCCGCTGCCGTCCGTCTCCGGGACTTCTACTCTTCCCTCTTCCATGATCTCATCGCCGAGGGATTCCTCTCCCTCAATTCCAAAACTCTCTGCATCGGAACCCTAACCGGTGAGGACGTGGCCACATTGCGAGAAATCGGGGTCGCCGATTCAATCGGCATAGCCACGAAATCATCTCCGCCGCTAGTAGTTCGGTACGGTCATGGCTCTCGGATTCCATTCAATGACGAAGCTTTTGACTTCATATTTTCCGGCAATATGGATCTGGAGCGTACGGATAGACCGATCGAGTTCGCGAAGGAAGTTTCGAGAACCCTAAAACCGGGAGGCTTCTTCGTTGTCCTTACATCAGGAACAGATCTGTACAGTCTGAACTCCCTTCTCGCGTTATTCAATTCCTGCAGAGCAATTCGAACCAGTGAAATTGACGGATTTGATTTCCCATCTCGAAACATTCGCCAAGTCGTGTTGATGAAAGACAATTCAATTCCTGATGATTATGTTGATGCGAGGAGAAAAAAAGCTTCCAAATGCTCTGCTCCAGGGTTCATGCATGAATTGATAAGAAAAGCAGAACCACTGATTGCAGAAGAGCCATTGAAGCCCTGGGTATCTTTTAGGAGAAATTTAAAAAACATTACATATCTCTCTTCCATAGTAGATATCAGCTTCAAGAATAAATATATATACATTGACGTTGGATCTAGGAACTATGCCTCCAGCATAGGAAGTTGGTTTAAAAAGCATTATCCAAAACAGAACAAACCATTCCAGATCTATGCAATTGAAGCAGACAGCATATTCCACGATGAATATAGAACGAAGAAAGGGGTTACCCTTGTTCCTTACGCTGCTTGGATCAGGAACGAGACTCTGTTCTTTGAGATAACCAGAGAACCAAACAAGAACATGGATAGATCCAGAGGAGGAATGGGGAGGATTCAAACAGTGCAGTCTTCATTGGAATTCACAGGGAAGGCGGACAAGATTCAGGGGTTTGATTTTGCGAAATGGTTGAAGAGTTTGGGGTTGAGGAACGATTATGTGGTGATGAAGATGGATGTGGAAGGGACGGAGTTTCATCTGATTCCGAGGATGATTGAGAGTGGGGTGATGTGTTTGGTGGATGAGCTGTTCCTGGAATGCCATTACAATAGGTGGCAGAGGTGTTGCCCAGGTGTTAGAAGTCCAAAATATCAAAAGACTTATAATCAATGCCTTGCTCTGCTTTCTTCTCTTAGAGAGAGGGGTGTTCTGGTGCACCAATGGTGGTGACTGTCTGGTAAACATCAATTTATATTTTTGTCCTTTGTACATAAAATATTCTTCCTTATTAATTCTTCAGTTTTTTTCTCAACATAAATTTTGTTGCTCAGAAATAGTTATGATCAAATAGTGAAAGGTATATAGCTGAACAACCATCATTACTGACTGTGGGTTTGTGTGTTCTATATTTGCATGTTTTGCAAAGACAAATATTACTTATACACTTTGAAAAGACAAACAGTGAAACAATGCCATAAATATTACTTATACACTTTGAAAAGATAAAAATATGATGTCTTTTAAAATTGGACAAAAAAGTGTTTAAACCAAATCCCCAAATCAAAAACTTCCGATGGCCTTCTTCAACAGATGTGGGCTCCTCTTAAGCCTGCGCTCTAGGAGGCAGGAGACAACCTTTGCTCCAGGTAATTCGCCTTCGCCGGTGGCTTGTAGCGACACACCCGTAGCCTCCTCCTTCGTGCATCGGTCTCCGCCACCGCTGTTTAGGGACTCACCGCCGCCGCATGCTCCGATATGGCCGTCGACGTCGCATTTTCGCACCGTAATAGCTATGCTGCTGCTTCAAATACTCTCTTCTTCTTCTTCTTCTTCTTTCTTTTCACCTATGCCTATGAGTTTCATCGGAATACACATATTTAATTTGATGTCTTGCGAAGTTGTTGGTGCAGGAGTAGAGAAGACGAAAGGGTAGGGGCGGAGGTTGGGAAAAGGGCAACGAAGACGCTAGTAATCGTCAGATATGATGGCGGCATCTAAAGCTAGGGTCACAGGTCGCAACGGCGCTCGGGATTGGGGTGGCGGCGAGGTAGGAGAGCGGGGATGGCGACTGGAAAGGGGCAACGACGATGGTGTGTGGCGGCGCAACGGGAATGGCAGGGGTGGGGGCTGGTGAGGCTGACCGTCGGAGAGGGGCGGCGTCAGGGTACCTGTGATGGTGGGGAGTGGTGGGAGGTCTTGTGGCTGATGGTGAACGGCGGTGGCCGGTCTCTGTGGCCGGTGTCACTGTAGCAGAGTCAGAGTCGCCAGCGTCATTGTGGTGGTGTCACTATGACTGAGTCACTATAGCCGGAGTCACTGTGTCACTATGACGATGTCACTGTGGCGGTGTTACGGTGGGCGGAGTCGCGATGACCAGAGTCACAATCGCTAGAATTGGATTAAGGATGTAACTATGATTTAGTCACATTTCCAGAAATTAAAAGATAAGTCACTTTTTTGTCAATTACTCAATTTTTAGTAATATTGAGGGCAACCCCCCCCCCCCCCCCCCCCCAAATTACCCCCTCCGTCCCATAATTAACTTCGGTTTTGACTGGGCACGGGGATTAAGATAATAGGATTTGTGTGGTGGATAGTTGTGCAGAGGAGAGAGAAATGTGAATGGTTGTGAACCACATATTCTTTACCAAAAGGGGAAAAAGAGATAAATTTGGGACGGACCGAAAAGGAAAGAATGAAAATAATTTCAGGACAGAGGGAGTACTTCGTATTTAAGAATTTGTTTAAAATAGCAATAAAACAAAGATAATTATTTAATAAGGTACCTATAAAGAAGATCCTATGATACCCATAAGATAGATTTTATAGTACCCACGAAGTACCATAACTTTGCCAACATATAACAATCAAAATATTGCAGCTGAATTATTTAATAAGGTAGTACCTCCGTACCATAAAATAAGTCTCACTTCAATTTGGATTAGAGTTTAAGAAATTTTGAATAAAGTGGAAATGTATGGTTGTGGTTGAGTAAGAAAAAAATAAATGAATGTTAGCCACACAAAACATTCTAAAAAGGGAAATGGAAACAATTTTTTGGGACGGCCCAAAAAGGAAAGTGAGACTTATTTTATGAGACGAAGGGAGTAGATTTTATGATACTCATAAAGTATCATAACTTAGTCTACATGAACAAATCAAAATATTGTAGTTGAATTATTCAAATGAAAATTAAAAGTGATGCAATGCTTTGGATCAATAAAATGGGTACCAAAGTTGTCACCCTTCGATAATTGGTTTTGTGTGTTCCTTTGGTTCCATAATCCCATTCAAACGAGAATTAAAAGGTCGGAAAAACTCATTAACTAAGGAGGTGAATTTGATACGTAGTAATTGCATGAATTCAATCAACAACTGGTCTTAATGTCATACCAAGACGGCGAGACGTGCATACACATGGTTGCGTGCATGAACAATTTTTATTTTTTTATGCTTTCATCCTAAATTGTGTTGTAAATTTGACTTTTTGGAGTCAAACACTCATTTTATTCATTTAGTTAGATTATCAATGTTTAATTAAATTTTAATTTTAATTTTAATTTTGCAACTTTATATATTTTAGTGTACTTTCTAAATATGTAATTTTAATTATTAAAATTGAACTAATTATCAATAAAGAGGATTCAACTTTAACATTAATTGACAAAAAAATATTGGCCTTACAAACCTTTTTTTTGTTACAACGGAAAAAGCCTTACAAAACAATTTGAAAGTATACATTTTAGACGAATTGACTCTACACTGACAAAGTTGGAAGCGTGTATGCTAAATATGTCCGAATGACTTGTACAAAAGAAATTTTCTTTGCATATACTCCTATATCACGGATTCACGCATGACGGTTGACGGACATTGTGAAGAGGGTATAAGGAAAAATGCCCTTTTTCTTTGATAAAAGGGACTAATTTACATGAATCGACCGATTCATATAGTGTTTTAGCGCTTTCAAATGGACTCAAGAATAGTTACAATACATACTTTTTCCCTCCCTGATGGAGTATATGGCCCAGGGACCCCCGACCCACATACTTCCTCTACTACAATAAGGCCCAACAGGTCCAAACGGGCCAAGCCCAGAAAAATGGAGCTCTAAGCAGCCCACAATACGCAAAGGGGTGCCTTCGGCCCCATGGCCGAAGGCTACCAGTGACGGAATCGAGCTCAGAAACATCACAGGAGAACAAGTCTTGAAAACCAAGCCTTCGGCAACTGCAGCCCTCGGCAGGTAGGAGCCCTCGGTTAGAAGAGGCATCACAGGAGAACAAGGCTTGAAAACCAAGCCTTCGGCAACTGCAGCCCTCGGCAGGTAGGAGCCCTCGGTTAGAAGAGGCATCACAGTAGAACAAGGCTTGAAAACCAAGCCTTCGGCACCTGCAGCCCTCGGCAGGTAGGAGCCCTCGGTTAGAAGAGCCTTCAGCCCAACACCCTTCAGCCGAAGGCATCCACCTCGACAGAATATCCTCTTCACATGCGCCTGGATCACCGTACAAAGTACAAACGTCACATCCAACCACCGCATTTAATGCGGCCACATGCGAGTGCCAGTGCCACCCCGGTCGAGGTGACCCCTCGACCACCAGAAAATTGACACGTGTCCTTATCTAGCATTTATTACTACTATAAATAGCACCCCTTTCCCTCATTGTAAACCACGCTTAATACATATCGAATATACACTCTCTCTCTTACTTATTTGCTCTGACTTCTCTCTAGTTATTCTCCGCAATAACCCCTCGGATAAGCTACCCCTCGGGTACACTATCCATCATTTGGTGCTTTCATTGAGAGGTCGAACAATCAAGTAAGAAACCCTCCCCCTCGACCAAACACAAAAACACCCATCCACAATGGTGAGAACAACTCGTGCCAACTCCAAGAATGTAGAGGACAGGAACCTGGCCCTCGGCGAGGTCGACGTCCCCGAAGCCTCCAACAGGGCTCCCGGGGGCGGCGTCATCACCGGAATGGACCAGACGGCTGTCGACCTATGCCAGCAGATTCAGCAAAATGCCCCCGATGCCCGCCTCGGCATCGAGGCTAAGAAGAAGGACCGGAGCGAAAATCAAATTAGCCCCCCGGTCATCACCATCGACGACGTTCAATCGGCGCTCTCTGCCTTCATCCAGACGCTCACTCAGAACCCGGGTGCCTTCGGCACCTTGGTTCCCCACCAGCCTCAGGTTGGGGAGTATTATGCCTCCCCCTCATCCACACCCCCTCGGGAACCCGGACCTCCGGATTGGGAACTCCGAGGGGGTCGTGGCCCAGGATACGGCCTCCCAGCCTCCCAGGAAGTCCAGTCCCGGGACCGCCACAACGTAAACAAAGAACAACTCCGGACCTCCGCCCTCGAGAGACTCGGAGGGGCGCAAGACCGCCGAGGGGTCCAAGACCGCCTCAGGGGGAAGGTGTTCCTGAGGCCTCAGGAAAGTGGCGGATCCGTCTCCAGGGCCAATGAAAGGCGTCCCCCTCAGGACAAAGGCAAAGCACCTCTCCATGCCAACGACGCCGCCACCAAATCAACCAGGCCCACTCGGCCCGCGTCCATTCACAGGGGGCGGAGGCCCTCCCGAAGGACCCCCGGGACGGAATCATCGCGGCCCTCCAACGCCGGCTTGACGAGATGGAGGCCACCAAAGCACACGCCACCACCTCTGCCCCTCATACAGACCTCAAGTATGAGGCCATGTTGGCCAAAATGGAGGAGATGTAAAGGAAATTTTCTGAAGGCTCCGGGGAACCCGTCATCCAACTCCGAACTAGGACGCCATTTACCCCAAGGGTATTGATGGCCCAAATCCCGGAAAAGTACCGAGGGCAACTCATCAAGCCCTATGAAGGAAAAACTGACCCCCAGGAGCACTACAACAGGTATCAAAACAACATGATGATGATGGGGGCATCAGATGAATACTTATGTCGTTGGTTCCTTTCCACCTTGGAGGGACCAGCATACGAATGGTTCAACCGATTGCCCGAGGGCAGCATTGACTCTTGGCAAGATCTTGCCCAACGCTTCCTCACCCATTTTGCCGGAAGGAAGCGCGCGAGAAAGCACTTCTCCCAGCTCCTCTCCGTCAAGAAACTGCCTGACGAAACACTTCGGTCCTTAATTGACCGGTGGATGAAGGAGACAGACGAGGTCGAGGGCGCCGACGAGCGTACCCTCCTCGTCCTCTTCCAGGGGGGTCTCCGCA